CACTCTAAATGGGAAATATCTTTTTTGGCGGTCAGGTGCTGAGGCTGTATGAACGGCATGAAGGGTCGTAAATACGACGGTCAGGTGGTTCACATGAGCAGTGTAGATGAGGAGACTTGGCAGAATTTGGCGAAGTAAGTTGTAAGGAGCGTTGGAGTATATGCTCGCGGTGAGCTCAGGAGTTTTCTTGTATATTATAGGAGTTCATGTACGTAGAAGTTTACAGAAACCAATATGAAATTTTCAAAATTTTTATATTTTCACCAGCACATGTAGTTGACCATGTGTTTAATTTGCCACACTGGTTTTAAGTATCCGTAGAATTGATAGTAGTAATAGTTTAATCGTGTTAGTACTGAATGGCTTTTGGGAGGGCTAGAAAAAGGACATGTTTTGTGTTCTTGTGGTGGACTGGTTATTTTGTTATCATTTTCTTGTGTAGGCCGGTGCTTGTCGAGATGGACGCAGCACTTGGTATATTGTAAGACTGGAGTCGCCGCCGACCTGCTTGTTTTTACTACCTTGTCGTCGTCGTTATCAAGGCAAGGGTCCGAAGGAGTAGGTCAGCACGTGAAACTATTACTACCCCTCAGCGGCTCATCGAAGTGTTCATAGTAGTTGAGTTTCACTCTGTTAGTCGAATATCATAACTAGAGTATTATTTAAGTATAATGGCAGACTCCCCAACAGACTCACCAGCATCGGTGGCATCATCTACTCATTCGACATCTGGCCGCTCGGTTGCTAAAGCGGTGACGACGTCAGTGTACGAGATGGACGGCGCTATGTAGCAGGGGAGAGGCTGTTGTCTTGGTGGGGAGTGGTTTATGTCAGGCAACATAATCCTGGCTTTGATGAGATGAGGGATCACCAGGAAGGCTCGGAGTCGCAAAGTCAAGTTACGGTAGTAGTAGTGGTATTGAGTTGATGGTGACAGTGTTGTATGGTCAGAGCCCTTCTTCTGGTGATGAATTCTATAACAACATGGACGTCAACACTGTTGGCGTTATAGGTGAGTTGTGTATTTTATGGTATTGCAGTGAGCGAAATATTTGCCTTTATTTTTAGTGGCTTTTTTCAGATCCGAAACATAGTAAATTTTCGGTACGGAAGATCTCTGGTCTTAATGATATGCCTGATAACGTAAGAAGCGTGGTAGTAGCAGTGTTCACTGTACACTGATGCCAGGTGACTGACTTCAGTGCACTATCTAAGCCG